AGATATATATATATATATATATATATATATATATATATTAGCTAAATAATCGCGCATTCTGTATGATATACTCAGAGAAAGAGAGAGAGAGAGTCAAAACAGCGACAAGCTGCTAACGTTTTAACTGGCGGAATTTCAAAGGAAATAATCTTTTTCTGATTTGCTTTAGGTTTCCTGTTTATCACTCTTTCTTGAGACATTGTTGTTTATGGTATTTAACAGCTGCAGAAACTGCTCCCACACTGACGACGTGGTAAATTCTCTCCCCCTCCCTGATGATGTTTCCACTACAATTTCCAGTTTTGTGCTCTTGGTTATTTGGTTATTTTTGTGTAATTTTAGATGCAGCTTAAATCTTCAGTTTTGTGCTCTTGATTATTTGGTTATTTTTGTGTAATTTTAGAAACAGCTTAAATCTCTTTCCTGTTTTCGTTATTTTTTGGATTATTCCTTAATAGGAATAATTCAAAATCCTTGGAGTTAATGTTTTTTTTCCGGAATCATGTTAAGAAATTAATTTATTTTGATTTATTTTTTCTTCAAATATATATATATTATTAATTTTTTATTTTGCTTTGCTTTTTCTTCAAATATATATATATATATATATATATATTAAATGTTTTAAAAGATCATTATATATATATAATTAAATGTTTTAAAAGATCATTATTTTTTATTGCATAAAATGGAAAATACTACCACAGTATAATCTATCACTTATGCATAGTAGGATAAAATTTCTAGGTTCGAAGATGTAAAGAAACGTATAATTTAGCAGTAGATCACGATAAAATATTCCTGGTATTAGCGCGAACTGTTGGTGACAGTTTGAAAAATAGTTTCTAAACTCACTATAAAATACTGTCACATTGATTATAAACAAAAGTTTATAAAGGAAAAGTTTTGATATTTTGAAATAAAATCTGTATCATTCATGATGCTCTCAATTTATTTTGCGTGAAAGCGTAAATCTTCAAAATCTTATGATTTATAGGAGCTTTTTTAAGATTAGACTTTACAGCATGACGAAATGAAAACATTCCTAAAAAAGAAAGTTTGACACTTTTTATAACATGGTATTTTTTAGCTGCTGATCAGAAGCCTATATATATATATGTCACCCATTCTTATATATATATATATATGTCATCTGTTGCTGGAAATACTTTAACTGGTTCATATACTCTTTGAATATATTAATATAGTAGTGAACATTATTTATTATATTACATTTTGATTCTTGAAACGTTTTTGATTAAAATATGTTTCAGGTAAAAAATAAATAAGGAAAAAATATCACTGTAACTTGCTTATTTCCTCCATATGATAAAACTCTTTTTACACTTTTTTTTTGCGGAAAGACCACACTCAAGACAAGTATTTATTTTTACCATTTATTTGTACAAGTTAATTTCTTACTTAGATTAGTAGTATTTTTTTTAGATGACTAGAATTTAGTTTTCTGTGCAGCTTATCAGTTTCTACGAAAACGTGAAACAAATGTCATGGATATATGTACAGGTCTCCGGAATAGCAAGTAACTTAAGATTTTAGCATATACTATTTATAGAGCAAATTTAATAATACATAACCCAGTCAAAATTGCACTTTCACTTTAATGTGTTGCTAACATGCTACAAAAGCATTTTAACTTAATTAAAACTTCATTTTATTTTGAGAAAAAGAAATGCAAAATATTTTAGCAAAATTCAACACATATGCATTATCAATTAGTATGCAAAATTCTTGCCTTAACCTTTTTTCCGTCTCTTCCTATTAATACAAGTTTAGAAACCTGTAACAAATCTAAATATAAAACTTTTTTTCTAAATTGATCAATTTAAACTTTTAAGTTTTTGTCACCTTTTAATCATACCGTACTTTTATCTACATTGTATTAACCATATATTAACAGTATTTAACCGCATATTAATTGTAATTTTTTTGTAGAAACTTAAGTTTTCAAAGTTGAACTGTTTGTAAATGAAACTAAAATATACATTGCAGAAATGAAACTCACACGTATATAGAAACACGTATTTTCAACCAATGTACAATATTCTTGCCAAAACCCTATTTATGTCTCTTCCCATTGATACAAACTTAAAAACCTATGAAGAAGTTTTATTTTAACACTTTTTTAAATTGCTTTAAACTTTTAAGTTAAACTTCAAGTCCTTTTTTTATTAAATTAAATTCCTAAATCACCGTATTCACATTATTACCTTCAGACAGAAAAGGGTTAAAAGTTTTCTTAAAGCATTTTCAAGTTTGCATAGCTTTATAGTTTCCAGATTTTCAGTTTCCAATTTCCAGATTTTTCTTTTCTATTCTATCTGAAGAGTTAACGAGCTACAATGTCAACATCATTTTTAAGATTTAACATATTAATATAAGAGCATATAAACATCTCTTTCCACTAAAGCATAAAATAAACTAATACTTGAGCATGGAACTAACATAAAAACATTTTGTTGAAACTGTTTATTAATATTACAACCTCAGTTGAAAGAATTATTGCAGGTATTATCGCAAACACTAAAATACCATCCTATAATTCACAAAACACAATCAAACGAGGCGCACTAAATAATTTTCCTTTTCTACTACTAAAGTTAGAGCAAACAATTCTCTTTAATTTCCATTCTACCATGCAAAATATGGACAACTGAATTGGCTGAGGAAAAAAAACAGAGGCAGTAATTCAGTCTGAAAGAATATTGCCGAACGGCGTATCGTGAATCA